TCGAGACCTAGTTATTCTTTAAGCACGTTAAGAAGCCCCAGATGCGCTTGCAAATCTTCTTCCGTCGTTCCTTTATCATTTATATGTACGTCTTTCATGACTCTATATGAACTAACTTTTCCAAATTCTTATGTTTTTTCAAATGAATTTCTTTAACTTGGCCGATCTCAGCCAATATACGTTCAACATCTGGCCTGGTGCTCCCTCCTGCAGTTGTATTTATAATTTTTCGGTTTTCTGTCCTTGTTTCGTTGCTTTGTTTTTTCATTCTTTTTGGTTGAAAATGAACAGGTGGTTTTGTCAAGCGTTGGACAATCCGTGCCTAGCCACATTCCCCGAGCTATTTATTTCGAGAGTTTTCAGTCAATGTCATGCCCCCATAACTCCACGAGCCACGAAGAAAAAGTTGCTCACCGCGACCGGCAGACTTATCAGAAACTCCAGGATAGCTAATTTGATGATTGTGTAAAAGACAGTTGCTCTAAAGTTTGTGGAATTGGATAAGAAGACATTGGTGCGAGAACTTGAAAAGAAAAATTTGAAATTGAGTTTGTAGTTGCATTATATGAAATTGAATAAATTGCATGTTTCGTGTATAACGTGAATTTACGGAAGAAACTGTCATCTTCCGACGTGTTCAACATATTTGGGTTGAATTTGTATGGATTGTTATCCATTACATCTTCACAGAAATATAAGACAAATGTCTGTGTTTTTTTGTGATGAAGGTGTAATGCATAACATCACAACAAACAACTTAGTTTATTTGTTGGCCATGTAAAAAGTGATTCAACATTGAATCATTTTTGGCAAGGTCGAACTTTCACCAACTCAATCAGGAAAAAATAAATCAATTCGAGATGCTCATATTTAAATTAAATCCATCTCATACATTATTATGTATGAACAAGTCATTTATCTTTACTCTGAATATCTGATGTGTCATATCTTTTAGCATCAGTAACCACGATAAATAAACAATGTTGCTATAAAACCAACTGGTTGGTTCCCTTATGGAACCAACACCCAATTAGATAGCTCCATGTGGGGTTGTCCCACATGTAAGTGTCGTTTTAAAACATGTAATAAGTGTCGTTTTAAAACATGTAAGATACACTGTTGTTTACATCCTTCAAGCTCAAACTTGTTCGTGCTTTGTTCATCTTTTAGGAGCTCTCAGTCAAAGTGTTTCGTAAAAGTTCGATTATCAACTAGATGTGTTGGATCAAACTTGTTCTTTTATAACTTAAGACTCAATTTTGCTTTTAATACGAATCGCATATTAAATCCATATGAATGTCTATAATCTTACTACTACTACCTCATAAAATTCCATAGTGGTAAGTGGTAACTAATTTCTTTTACTTTTGCCTAGATATTTAATCGAAGGTTAGGCCGTGCATGATCAACTAGTACAGAGCTCGTGCGATGCACGGGTGCACAATTTTAAGGCTATTTATCCAGACTTATAATTATATACATGAATACAGAAAAATGTACGGGATATATGTAGTACGTGATCCGTGCGAGGCACGAGATATATTTATTTGGAGAATACTATATTATAAGACGCAATATTCAATAAAAGTTTTATAATACGCAGGAAAATTGTACAATAAGATAGTATTCGACAAACAAATAATCATATATTATTAAAGACCTCCTTGTACACAACATTATGGGTTTGATTTTCCACAATAATATTAAGATTTTTTGTAAAAAGATAAGAAGGAATTTTCAATCTACACAAACTTTAAACATTAGATGTATTTACGTAAATCAATGACTATATAGACAATTAAACCCTTCAATTTAGACTTGACATCTACTTTATTTATGGGTGACGTAAAATAAGGATTTAATTTTGACCGACTAAATCTTTATTCATAGGCTTGACATATAAAACTGATTTGATGGGATTTTTTTACCTAAACCGATGCTATGAGATAAAACAAATCTATACTTACCTTTGACTTTTCCAGCAAAGGTAAAAAAATCGGTTCTGATTTATATCCCATAACAAATCTTTAATGTCAAGCCTATAAATACCAAAACAAATCTGTAATTAACATCATTCTATTTCCAGCAAGCATTAATTACCTTTGACTTTTCTGCCTACTATTTCTAGTAAATAAGATGACTTTTTATATAAGTATAGAGTTCATATAATGTAAAGACTGAGATCATATAAAAGAATCCTAAAAACTGAAACAATATATTTGCATAATTTAAGGCCATTAAGAAATCGATCTCTAAATCAGATTTGATTTTCAGAATATGTTTTTTTATTTCGAATTCCATACAAAATGGAATTCTTTCCAACTAATAGATGTCATAGCAAATATTAACTCTTAACTATTATACTATTAGTACATACCGAGTAAATTGTGTACAGATTTTAGAAAGTTAAAATGATTCATGTTAGATAATTTTACATTTTATGCATGTTGAACGGTGAGTTTTAAATATTGTTTCATAGAATGTAAAAGTGTATTATATTATTTTTATGAGATATTGAATTTGAAAATTTATAGAATTCTTCTTCATAGGAATTTTAAATGTAACAATATTCTTTGGTATACACTACTAATAAAATCTATATTTAAAGTTTATATTTTTTTTTTACCGGAAAAAATTCCTTAATTTAAGGAATCACAAATCCTCAATCAGTCCACATCTATATACATTCTTCACAATTTTAAATCTTGAATTTGATGAGAATTCATATCTATGAGTGCAAAATATGGTTTAACAAATTATTTTTTTATTATTATTCCAGCCATACTTCTTTATACGATTTTTTGTGAAAATACAAAAGTAAATTCTTAATTTTAAATCAACCGTACATTAACGAATACAAATTTGTTGAAATTACAAAAGTAGTTTTTTACTTTTAAATAGACGTAAATTTAAATCAGTCATAAAAAAGTAATATTTGTTTACCATTTAAATATTAAATCAACCGTAATTAATGTTGTTTGTTTTAGTTGCCACGATTTTCTCCAAACTAAATTAACAACTGCCATGATTTAAGGGCAATATTTAATGCTGCTCTATTTTTAGGAGACATTAAATGTATTTGGCGGGAAAAACTTGCTAAAAGTGTTAAATGGTTAATCTTTTAATATAATGATAGATTCATTTTATTTAAGGTACTAATATGAAAAGCAAACTTTATAGATAAAATGTATGAAATATCTAAAAATCCATTCATTTTATTTAAGGTACTAGTTTGAAAAGCAAACTTTTAGATAATTTGTATATACTAGTACAATACCTATATATTACATGGGTGTATGTTAAGAAATTTATATTTAAAATAAAAAATAATAATAATAAAATTGTTTAAATTTTTAAATATATTTTTTTTGAATAACTATATTACTATTTATATTTAAAACAACATACATCACTTATATGGTTTACCATCTTATATTATAATATTTTTTTTAATTATATCATTATCAACTTTGTAGTTAAATTGATTTAAATAATTATATTTTCTAATTAATATTAATAGGTAATTTTTGTATAAAGATAAGTATAATTATTTATTTATTTTGTAGATACAATATAGATGTTAAATCGAAACTCGTCAAGACATGATTAATTTAATATATTATATATAATAAATTAATAGTAAATAAAAAATTATTAACTTTTCAATCTACTTATAATTTAAGTTAGTAATTTTTTCCTAATTTTAGAAGAAAGATGAAGAAAAAAGAAAGATTGAGAAAAAAAAATCATACCTAATAAATCACGTATAGGATAAGAAATGTAATACTAATACTCTTAAGAATGACCATAAATATCTAGTACATTTATGGCTATTCCAAATTTAATTATTTTTTAATTTAGAATAAATCTATATATATATAATTGCTAGCTAATCCCATTTAATAAAACATTTAATAAAAATATTTTCACTTTCCCTCCAAAAGGAGTTACATTTTTTTAATTAATTACTCATTAATCTCACATTTAAGAAGGTTTTCTATAGTTAAATTTAATTAGTTAATGACTAAATTAAAAAAATTTATTTTAATTAATCTCACATTTATGTTAAGTACAGTATTATCTTAATATCTTATCAATTTTTCAAAAAAAATAGTAACTTTTTTCAATAAATTTTATAAAAATTAGTCAAATGTGCTTATATTCATATAAATCAGAAAAAAAATTAAATCTTAGATATATAAAAAGAACATCGTTGAAATAACTTGAATCCGCAAGGGTAATTCTATACTCATTATCAATTACTTTAAAATTTTTGTTTATATAAAAAATTAATATTATATTTAATCATTTATATTTAGATGGTATTTTTTTTATTAAGAAGCAAGGACAATCTCTATCAATCAATAAGAGTCGAGGACAAACAATATAAAGAAGTGTTTCCTATGCTATGACATGATCAATAAGAGTCAAAGACAGTCTCTGTCGCACGTCGGCTTACTACTGAAGAGCTCTGCATTTAGTCATGAGCAATTATACGTGGCGCTTTTTAGAGTTACGAGTCAGTGGGGTTTGAAGAGTTTGATTTGAGCTGAGGGAGATTTTGACGATAGAAAAATACGACGTTTTTTTATAAAGAAGTGTTTAAGAATATTTATATTTTTTTTCTTAATTTTTTTCAATGAATTTGTTATGATTTTTACTATTGTTTATAATTTTTATTATTTTTTCATTTATCATATAGTTTTCCGTGCAAATGCACGGGACAAAAACTAATTAAAATTCATTCAAGCCAAATGACAAAGCATGAAAATTTCCGACATTCCAAATCATAGATCATGTCACTTAGACTGAACTCATTATGAAACATCCATTCATTTTAATGAAATGAGAAAAAAAAAAATTACCTCCCCACTTAAATAGGAATATAAAATAAAGGAATCTACCTATTTTTTCAAGACAAGAAATTCAGGAAAAAGCTTTTCAAACCATCTTAATTTTTGCTGGATTTATTACTCCAAATTATTCAGACTGTCACTTACATGTTACATCTTCCCCTGAAAATTCTCACACAGGCGCACAAAAAACCCTCTCTCCCCGACAAAAGACGCGTCGCCCGACTTTCCCGCGCCTTTCCGGCGATTTCACGCCGTGCAACGGTAGCCTCCGCCGTCCCCTCTGTATCTCCCGTTCGATTGGGCGGGAGTATGTTTTTTTGTTTTTTCGTTTTTAATATCGTTTTGTGGTTTATGTTTGTTCTCATAGCTTGTTTGTTGTTTTCCTTTTGCTGTATTTGTTCATTTCTTTGTTTTGACTCTATTATAGAGGCGAATTTGCTGTTTTCATGTTTCGTAGAAGGTAAGCGCGTTTGCACGTGCTCTGATGATGGGATTTTGCTTAATTTTGTTCAGATCAGGCCGCTGTACTGTGTTTTAGCTGTGTTTTGTGCAAATGGGTTGCTGTTACACCGACTGTTATTTGCTAGTACGCTTACAGTTACTTTGGTTTCAGTTTTACATGCGTTGCTCGTGGGGAGCTTATGACCGAGTAGGTTTTTGATATGCGTTTCTGAGCCTGTTAGCTTTGGAGGTTGAGGAAAATTCGCCTGCACGTGAGGCAAATTACGGATGTGGACGAATATTTTCAAGATCGTAAGTTTATGCATTTACACCTTGTTGCAGAATGTGTTGCGTTTCATTTCGTTTCGTTTGGTGGCACGTGCAGTATGAATTCAATTAGTTGTTCACTCTCTTAATTGTTATATTGCACAATGATTCCGCTCCATTATTTTGCTCGCGATACATTAAATGTTGTGTACTTAGTTTAGCCTAAATCATTGAGTCATGCAACCAGTTAACCCTGGCCAATTTGAATTAGTAAAATACCTTTTTTATCGGCTTACTTTTTCATATTTATATGCCGGACTTAGCAAAGCAGGACAATAAGCTTTTGATTTATATCAAATTGAAAGTGTGTATTAATGATGTGCCTTCGATAGATAGGAGTTCAGTATTCCTAGTTAGCTGGTTGCACCAGAGACTTGTAAGCCGATACCATGTCTACAATTGCAAAAATGAGTGTCACCGGTTGACTTTTTCAGACTCTTTGTGCCTGGATGTTTATGCATAAATGCAGTTATGCTTATGCGCATGTCTAAATTTCAGACTAGTAGCCCATCAATGTTTAGTTCAAGAACTGACATATCTATCCAAAGAGTGTCATACATTTCTATGTCCTAGAGTAATTGTAGGACGCAGTTAAGTCTAATAATTGACACGTAAATACCATCTCAGAGGAAAGTATGGTTTCAAGAATAATCGGGCTGACAAGTAGTCAATCACTTTAGTAGGGACTTGTATGCATGCAGAAATTTGTTTGTAGTCAGGTTGAAGTTTTCATCAAACTTGTGGAAATTATCCCTAAATTGCTCGTAACTATTTATGAGTCCAGCTGTGTTAAAGAATGAGCTTTGTACTTTCGTGGAGTAGATAATTTCACCCAGATTCTTATCTTATGTGGATGTTTTAACATGGATTGCAACATGTGTTTGGGGCCCACTAAAGTACAGGTGATTACTATTCTGTTCCACTATGACCTGTCTGTTATTAGCCGTGGAGTTTCTGCTGATTTTCTTATATTAAGTTCTTTTGTGGAAAGGTAATAGCTAAATAGTTATTCTACATAATGCTATCTAACTTTTGGTGCAAGGATTATAAAAAATCTTCAAAATGGGTTATTAAAGTTTGTACGCCAATGTTTAACTTTGTTTAATTTCAACAACAGCCAGCTAATTTGTTTACAGGGAATTCACTTTCCATTTTTCATTATTGAGCATATAAGACACTTCCTATTATGGAGATTTTTCCTTAAATTGCCAATTTTCATATTATCGTATACCGAAAGGTGTAATGTTTTTCTAATTTGTTTTCCATCTTCTTTGTCAGGGTGGTTTGCATCAGATATCTTGGTTTCAGTTTCTTCCTCATGATTACGATTTCAGTACAGCGCCTGATAAGAGGTGTCATACAGAACTACATGTTGCTAATATTTGATGAATTTATTGGAAGAAATGTTGAGAAAATGCTTTATTGAAAAAATCAACTTGTTATATCAGAAGATTCTTGTCACGCTTTGTATTTCTAAACAACCAAAATAGCTTGTTTGGTTCTGTTCATTGAATGACAAATGGACTCTGTCATTGAGTATTATCTACGGGATCTAGGCATTTTTTTCAGCTTCATTTATCTCTCTCTTGTTTTTTGACCCTTTGTCATATTATTTCTCTTTGAAGATGGTTTTCCTTTGTTTTTTCTCCTATATGTATGTTACATGCTCTGCTAATCTCTTTGTGCTTGCTATTTCATAAGTTTGAAAGGCAACCAGAAAGATGTGGCAACATGGGAGGTGCTTTCAGCTCATCTGCAACTGCAGAAGGAGGGGTTTCTCAGCTCATGGACTAATTCCTTTGTGGGGCCGTGGGATCCTTCACAAGGGCTGCATAATCCTGGTCAAGATTAATTATGTCACATTGCTGATCAGACAGAACACATGCGTGTTTCAAACTTTTGACTTTTGCTTTTATTGCGCAGATGAAAAGATCAAACTGTGGCTGTTTCTGCCGGGCCAACATTCTTCTATTGTTGAGAAGGCACAGCCTGCTGTTGCCAAGTTGAGAGGTATGCTGTGTTCAACTGTTTACTGTTTTATACCTTTGCTTCATTTTGCTTTAGTATATGGTTTCACCCGTGAACCATATAATGGAGAAGATGATCACTAACGTCTCTTTCCCTTTTCCTTTTTTAAAATTTTATCCATGAAGTGCTCGCATCTGGACTTTGGGTGGCTCCTGGTGACTCCGAAGAAGTTGCAGCTGCCCTGTGTCAGGCTTTGCGAAATTGTATAGAAAGGTTATGTTACGCTACGTTCTCCCGTTGATATATTTGAATGTAATCATCAATTAAAGATGTTTTTGTTTTGATTTTTTTCATCATTCATTTTTCATTCAGCAGAGCTCTTAGAGGGCTTTCATACGTACGATTTGGAGATGTGTTTTCAAAGTATCATCCTTTTACACAGAATGAAGAACTATTCCGGTATGCTTCTGGGTATTAATGTTGTCTATTGAGATTTGAGATTTAGATGTCAAAGTATTGAGAACTTATTGTTTGACTAGTACATGAGTTTGCTATTATGAAAATTGCATGGAATATTTTGGGATCTTTCTTATGTTTAATGCTTATATTCACTATATAACTGCTGCTATTATCTTTCATACTAGAACCATTTAAGAGAAGCATATGGTTTTATAGGCTAAGTTGCAATTGAACTGACGTTTGAATGACTATCCTTTTTGTCTCTTGGAATGAATTTGTTCAATGCTAACCTAAATGTTATACTGTTTCTTTTCTGTCTTTAAAAAGACAGTTGAAGTGATGTTTGGTAAGAAAAGTTGATTTGGTTTTGTTGGTTTTGTAGATTTTACCAGCTAATATTGCTTGATGTCATGGATTTGTTTTTACTTGTCATTGCTTGACTTGTTAAGTTCTTTACTGAATCTTGGAGGATTAAAATTGTTCTGCTCTTTTGCTATTCAGAAAAAGGCTATTGGTGTAAAATGTAAATGTGGAAATTAACCCGGTTCATAAATGTGTATTGATAATAACAGCCAACTGTGCTAGCTATATGATTTTTTATGCTCATTGTTGAATTTTGGGTGATGTAACATCGTTATCTATGAATTATCATTTAAAGCAATAGACATATTGTATGGTGGGAATAATCTTAAAAAACAAAAGCCTTGAAATCGATGCTCCTCTTTTATTGCTTTTATTTCTTAATTGGTAATTGTTACTCATGAGAAAGAGAAACTGAAGCGGTGCATTGCATCAGACCCTCTGAAGTTGACTCAGGTTTGGCTTGATGAATTTATGCTTGAGATTAACTTAAAAAGATAAAATGACCTTAGGTTTTTTGCACTTTTCTGGTCTGATGTTGTCGCCGAAATCATTATAGCAAGACAACATCAAATGTTCCTTACTCAAATATCTGATTTCTAGTTTCACCATTTAGTCATTCCTCTCACCGTGGCATTCTCTTGTCCGTATTTACACTTGATTGCCTTTGAGAACGTTTGAGATAATGCTGATGTAATGTCCTGTCTCAAGAAGCTTTATTACCGCTTTGTAGGAAGGGTCAACCTGTAGCTGAGTTTATCTTTGCTGCAACAGAAGACACAATATTTGTTCATGTCATCATATCTGCTAAGTAAGTTTATTTTTTTAGTTCCTGTAAATTTTCCAACCACCTGTACTTTTGATTGCTTTGGAACACTATGATATTGCTATATGTTGTTCTTTCCACCAATTAACTCTGTTTCGCATTCATCTTAAATCGTTTAATATATTTGTTTTCCCACTTTTAGACATGTCAGAGCGCTTTCAAGTGGTGACATTGAACCATTCCTCAGAGGTTCTAGTAGACGATCCTCAGGCCAAATTTCAGGTTTGTTGGTACAATAAATTCTGTTATGGTTTTGTTGAACTTGTATGGGCAAAATCGTCTATTTGCATCGTGCATTTGAATTCCTCAGTTGGGAGATGAGTTTGGGGCATATTGTTCCATTGGTTGCAGTAATGTTTATTTATTTATTATTTTTTAAGGCCTTATGTGGCTATAAATGTCAAAAGTAAACCGACTTTTGAACAACTATATTGGCCAAATGTTTAGTGTATTATTATATTGTCAATGTTAATGTAATCGTTTTCAAGTCCTTGGCTAGGAAATATGGTGTATATTGGTAGTTATGCTAGCTGCCAGCTTTGTTAACAGGTGTAACTTGTGTAGAATAATAATAATAATAATTATTATTATTATTAATTGTGGTTAGCTTGGAGAATAAGCTAGGGTTTATTTTGAGGGCCTTATTTAAAGGACTTTTCTGCTTTGTTATGAGGTGGTGAATTTTGAGATTGAATCAGATATTGTGAGTTTTGTGTGTTTTACGAGAGAGTGTCTCGTTTATCCTTCCCATTCGTACGCTTCCTTACCTCAGTTGGTATCAGAAGTCAACACGATTCACGATGCTGTCGCGAAAACAAGATGCTGCAAACGATAGGTGTGTCGCCGCCATCTACAACCTGAGCCGTCGGACCGAGTGGTTTGGCCGCCAGCTCGAGACGATGGGTCGTGAGATTGCAGATCTGTCCGCGGAGATTGGGGACATACGTCTAACTATCCGTACCATGGTTCGGGACAAGCAAATGTACCATGACGCGTGCGCAAATGTACCATAGTTGTTAGTGGGTAAATTAAAATAATATTTAAAATAAAATGATTAAAATTAATTTGATGTAAAAGTAAGAGAGAAGATGTGATGTGATGGTTAGTTAAAATTATGTGAGTTGATGAATAGTGAATTAAGGTTGATGTTGTGTGTAAGAATGATTGATTGATATTATTTAATTATATTGATAAAATTAATGATAGTGGGGTTGAGTTAAAGTTGAATTAAAAAAAGTGGTTGAGTTAAAAATGATTGGATTTTTTGGATTGATTTTATATCCAAGCATGCTCTTAGGCATTGTGATGACAATTTCGGATGTATCCGATCAGAAAAAAAGGAAGAAGGGCGGCGGAAGGGATGGTGATCAGAATTTCTCTGATACCATAAAAGAGTTTATGGTGTGAATTTCTGAATGCCTTTCTATTGAACATGAAAACCCTTTAAATAGGGAATGATACAACATAATAAAAGGAAACAATATATACACCAAATCAATCACAATAAATAATAATCACAGAAAATCAGCCAAGTATCTCTGCTGATTATATGCATTGCTAAGAATTGTGAGTTTTGTGTGTTTTACGAGAGATTATCTCGTTTATCCTTCCCATTCGTACGCTTCCCTACATCAGTAACCATGTATAAGAACTTAGTCATTGTCTGCGTTCTTCAATGTTTTATCTTATAAGAAATTGATAGAAACTAATACAAGTGATATATCATGGATAAGATATTTATGCCATATGCTTTCAGGGAGGATTGTTTTTGGTTCTATATGCATTTTCAAGCTGTTAAGTCTGAAACTTATCTACATTGTTTCAGTTGTTGTCTCCCCTCATGGAATGCGTGGGAAGCTCACGGGATATTGTCCTGGTGATCTTGTCAAACAAGTGTATCTGAGGTTAGATTAACTACAGCTCGAAATGCATTCAGCTTTCACAATCCTTATTTTTCAAATGCAGTGTGCATTCAGTGTCCTGTTATTTGGTGTCTGATCTTACCTTTCACTCAATATTCAGATTCATAGATAAGCAATGTTCATTATTTTTATATATTCTCTTTTT